TGTTCCGGTGAATTCAGTTCCCCTGTTTCGCCACGCATGCTGACCACAGTCTATGATGCTGACAAATAATGCTGACTCACAACCTGTAAGTACGTTTTCATATTTAAAGGATTTGCCACTGATGATTCAAACGCGAGTTTTGAGCAGTGTAGAGTAGCGCTTGTTGTTTGTCGTTTCTCCGATCACAAATGCAGACATGGTTTTATGTTTGCAACGCAACGCGTAAAAAGACAGTATAAGTCATTATAATCAGTAATTATGTCCCCACTGGATGCAACAAATGCCTCGTTTATAATGGGTTTTATTGGTTTTGTCTCATCGCGCTGGGACACGGCATCACAGTATGGTAAGGGGCGTAACATTTCCGTCACACGCTTGAGGAATTCGGCCAATCACAACGCACTGGATAGCTGGCCAATCAGAGCACACCTCGCTTTTCAGAACGATGAGCTTTGTAAAAATCGACAGAAAGGCGGGGCATAGAGGAGAAACAATAATGTACAGTATGTGGAAAATAATAAATAAAATAAATGTTTTTTGAATCTTAAACTGCGTAAACACATTTCATTACACCAAATACACAAAGTAATGTTATTTTTTAGCTACGTCATATGACTCCTTTAATGATACTTTTATAGTACTTTGCCTGCTTTTATACCTACTTTTTAATGATAATCCTTCCTTTTAAAAGCTTGAACACTCCAGTTTCCATTCATTGTAATTGCATAGAGAGAGAGAGAACAGTAAATTCTTCAAAATATCTGTTTTTGTGTTCAACAGCAAAAAAGAAAACTATGGGTTTGGAACAACATAAGGGTGAGTAAATGTTGACAGAATGTTAATTTCTGTGTTTTTGTTTTACTGTGTACAGAAATGGATCCCGCTTTTGTTAATGGTAAAAGATGACAGGATATTTCAACAGTAGGTGTTCTTCAGATAAATTTAGTTTGGAACAAAAGGTGAGACAAAGAAAAAGACATAAAAGGGATGCTTCACATCTGGCTCATTTGATGTCAGGTCAGTTTGATATTTGGTGTCTGGTGAAACTCACCTCAGTTGCAGTAGTGTGTTCAGATGTGCTGGGCTGCTTGACAACTCATCTTAACTGAATCAACTGAACCTAAAGGAGAGTACAGTCCTTTTGAGTCCTGCAGATATGTATGAATGTAATCCTTATCAATCCTCAACAATAATTGACATTCAGCTCACCATCACTGGTGAGTGCCTCACTTTGCCTTGCTTGAGCAGTTTTAATTCTCTACAAGTATCAAAGTTAACAGCTGTTTTTCTGTGTGACACATTCAGTGATTGAAAGGAACTCCTTCGGTTTATGTGTCAAAGTGAATGGAGAAGCAGCACTTCATAAAGCTCTTTTTTCATTCCTTAATTCTCAAGGATGACTTGTATCATACTGTGTTAACCTTTTATTCAAAGCTTATATGGATCATCTAATTAGTGGACCATCATGACAATGTGTTTGTTTTGCATAGAAAAAGAACACGCAGCATTCACACTTTCTGCTCGCCATGAATTTTCAGGGTTATTAATAAAAGAAGAGTTGCTTGTTAGCTAATTAAATGTAATATGTTTATTCCTTACATTGTCTTGTTAATGGTAAAACATTTATTGCATATGATTGGTTGTGCATTCACAATCTCGCTGCTTACTAACTCACATATTTAAATTACCACAAATTACAGCACATGACCTCATGGTATGAAGTCCATTTTGCAAACCCGGATTTTCACAACAGAAAAATAGTATTTTTGCTTTTTATAGTGCTTTTAAAATTGAACCTCTTAGTGTTTTTCTTGGATTTTCCACAATGCTTTCATAGTAACAGGTGAAAGGCACATCAAGGCCCGTCAAGCACACAGGTTTCAAACTTTTGAATTGTGCTCAGGAATGAGGCACTTTCTTTTACTGCCATCATATGTAACAGCATTGTGTTATGGATTTAGATGTTTCTATTGATTGTTTACAAGCAATTTACACATTTAGAGTGGGTTTGAGATAAATTGACACATTTAGAGTGAGTTTGAGTGAGATTGAGATAAAAATTGTTTCAAAAATAGTTGCATATGTGCATTATTTGGTGTTAAGTGTGTGCGTGTGTGTGTGTTTGGCAGTGCAGTGTGGGAGTAGTTTATTCTTTCTGCCTGACCTGCTTTTTAAAGAGAGAGAGGAGAATGAGAGTGAGAAAATGAGAGGGCGATAGGAGCCGCACTTTACATATTAAACATATTACAAGCAAATCCTGACAGGTACACACAAACTGCAGGATTGTTTCACAGCAAATATTTGTGTAGTTGTACACATGCAGTTGGATATTTCTGTCAAAGGAAGTCTACTACCGATACTACAAGAACACTGCATAACTAAGTACTCGGTACCCAAGGCAATGCAGTCACCTGACATAACCCGGCCAGTTCTAATAAATCTAACATTGCTGTAATACAAAACATTCCATTGCTCATTTAAGTAAATTAACATAATTGTGGTCTCATTGGCAGTAGAGTGACTTTATGATTGTAGTCGCCCTCCTCCTGCAGGTACTCAAAGATGGAGGCAGACGGGGTTTATAGACTTGATGGAGACCAATTAAAGTGTTTGAAATAGGGTTGAAGGGTGCACAGAAAGTTCAACCCATCTTCAACCTGTAATATCACCATGTCTTTACTGCAGAGCAGTGATAGTGATATAAGCCAGGATTATTAATCATGTAAAATCTAGCCATGTTGAAATTATTATGTACCTATAGTATTTGGCCTGTAACGGATGTTTCATATGCTCATTAGAAAAACTTGCCTTCCTGCATTTTTTGCTAATCTCCAAAAACATACACATAAAATTTGCTGCAGTTTCCAGCTAAAATGACCACTAGTGGAAGTATAACACCAACAACTTTTATTCATTTTCACAAACTGGAAGCTCCTGTCACCAAGTCAAATTCCTTGTGTGTGTAAACATACTTGGTAATAAAGCTCCTTCTGATTCTGATTCTGACAAAGTGTGGTTATAGGGCAGATTTTCGATTGATAAAGATTAACTTTCATGTTTTTCCTTGCACAATACTATGTTATGACTTCAAACACTTTTATTGCAAGATTTATAAACTAATACATTTTGAGATTTGCATCTCATACTCAGCCTTATATGTATGGATTTTCTGTAAGGTTTCCTCATGTTTGCTTTTGTTAACACTATCGGTTCAAAGTAATGTTATTTTTTAGCTACGTCATATGACTCCTTTAATGATACTTTTATAGTACTTTGCCTGCTTTTATACCTACTTTTTAATGATAATCCTTCCTTTTAAAAGCTTGAACACTCCAGTTTCCATTCATTGTAATTGCATAGAGAGAGAGAGAACAGTAAATTCTTCAAAATATCTGTTTTTGTGTTCAACAGCAAAAAAGAAAACTATGGGTTTGGAACAACATAAGGGTGAGTAAATGTTGACAGAATGTTAATTTCTGTGTTTTTGTTTTACTGTGTACAGAAATGGATCCCGCTTTTGTTAATGGTAAAAGATGACAGGATATTTCAACAGTAGGTGTTCTTCAGATAAATTTAGTTTGGAACAAAAGGTGAGACAAAGAAAAAGACATAAAAGGGATGCTTCACATCTGGCTCATTTGATGTCAGGTCAGTTTGATATTTGGTGTCTGGTGAAACTCACCTCAGTTGCAGTAGTGTGTTCAGATGTGCTGGGCTGCTTGACAACTCATCTTAACTGAATCAACTGAACCTAAAGGAGAGTACAGTCCTTTTGAGTCCTGCAGATATGTATGAATGTAATCCTTATCAATCCTCAACAATAATTGACATTCAGCTCACCATCACTGGTGAGTGCCTCACTTTGCCTTGCTTGAGCAGTTTTAATTCTCTACAAGTATCAAAGTTAACAGCTGTTTTTCTGTGTGACACATTCAGTGATTGAAAGGAACTCCTTCGGTTTATGTGTCAAAGTGAATGGAGAAGCAGCACTTCATAAAGCTCTTTTTTCATTCCTTAATTCTCAAGGATGACTTGTATCATACTGTGTTAACCTTTTATTCAAAGCTTATATGGATCATCTAATTAGTGGACCATCATGACAATGTGTTTGTTTTGCATAGAAAAAGAACACGCAGCATTCACACTTTCTGCTCGCCATGAATTTTCAGGGTTATTAATAAAAGAAGAGTTGCTTGTTAGCTAATTAAATGTAATATGTTTATTCCTTACATTGTCTTGTTAATGGTAAAACATTTATTGCATATGATTGGTTGTGCATTCACAATCTCGCTGCTTACTAACTCACATATTTAAATTACCACAAATTACAGCACATGACCTCATGGTATGAAGTCCATTTTGCAAACCCGGATTTTCACAACAGAAAAATAGTATTTTTGCTTTTTATAGTGCTTTTAAAATTGAACCTCTTAGTGTTTTTCTTGGATTTTCCACAATGCTTTCATAGTAACAGGTGAAAGGCACATCAAGGCCCGTCAAGCACACAGGTTTCAAACTTTTGAATTGTGCTCAGGAATGAGGCACTTTCTTTTACTGCCATCATATGTAACAGCATTGTGTTATGGATTTAGATGTTTCTATTGATTGTTTACAAGCAATTTACACATTTAGAGTGGGTTTGAGATAAATTGACACATTTAGAGTGAGTTTGAGTGAGATTGAGATAAAAATTGTTTCAAAAATAGTTGCATATGTGCATTATTTGGTGTTAAGTGTGTGCGTGTGTGTGTGTTTGGCAGTGCAGTGTGGGAGTAGTTTATTCTTTCTGCCTGACCTGCTTTTTAAAGAGAGAGAGGAGAATGAGAGTGAGAAAATGAGAGGGCGATAGGAGCCGCACTTTACATATTAAACATATTACAAGCAAATCCTGACAGGTACACACAAACTGCAGGATTGTTTCACAGCAAATATTTGTGTAGTTGTACACATGCAGTTGGATATTTCTGTCAAAGGAAGTCTACTACCGATACTACAAGAACACTGCATAACTAAGTACTCGGTACCCAAGGCAATGCAGTCACCTGACATAACCCGGCCAGTTCTAATAAATCTAACATTGCTGTAATACAAAACATTCCATTGCTCATTTAAGTAAATTAACATAATTGTGGTCTCATTGGCAGTAGAGTGACTTTATGATTGTAGTCGCCCTCCTCCTGCAGGTACTCAAAGATGGAGGCAGACGGGGTTTATAGACTTGATGGAGACCAATTAAAGTGTTTGAAATAGGGTTGAAGGGTGCACAGAAAGTTCAACCCATCTTCAACCTGTAATATCACCATGTCTTTACTGCAGAGCAGTGATAGTGATATAAGCCAGGATTATTAATCATGTAAAATCTAGCCATGTTGAAATTATTATGTACCTATAGTATTTGGCCTGTAACGGATGTTTCATATGCTCATTAGAAAAACTTGCCTTCCTGCATTTTTTGCTAATCTCCAAAAACATACACATAAAATTTGCTGCAGTTTCCAGCTAAAATGACCACTAGTGGAAGTATAACACCAACAACTTTTATTCATTTTCACAAACTGGAAGCTCCTGTCACCAAGTCAAATTCCTTGTGTGTGTAAACATACTTGGTAATAAAGCTCCTTCTGATTCTGATTCTGACAAAGTGTGGTTATAGGGCAGATTTTCGATTGATAAAGATTAACTTTCATGTTTTTCCTTGCACAATACTATGTTATGACTTCAAACACTTTTATTGCAAGATTTATAAACTAATACATTTTGAGATTTGCATCTCATACTCAGCCTTATATGTATGGATTTTCTGTAAGGTTTCCTCATGTTTGCTTTTGTTAACACTATCGGTTAGGTTTAGGGTAGGGTTTAGTGTAGGTGGTATGTTACACCTGAAATGGGCGCTATTTTCATGTTTCTTGTATCACACTGTGGATTCACTCTCTCTTGTTTCATGCAAACATCTTGCATCTCAGTTCAGAATTAATATTAGCCTACTGTAATACTGTTGCAGTGTTCATCTTGTTGCTAGGCTAACTATTTTGCACATTGTAATGGGCTATTATTTTTTAGCAGAAGCTTTAAAATAATATAAACTGTAAAAAAGTGTTCATGTTTTACATGAATGTACTATTTCAGTTTTTCTACTTAAAAATTATGTTTATTTCAGTGTGTTACTTGCCATTTCTTTGTAATTGTTTGTGAAATTTACTAGCAATTACTGAGTGAAAATTGCTTCTTTGCAAAATACATTTAGTCATTTATATATATATATATTTGATGAACATTAGTTTTGGTATTCTGTGGGGAAAAGGTTGTTGAACTACAGGTTTTGTAAACACTTTAGCCGATAGACAACAAGGTTTAGAAGAACATAAATGAGAAATTACATAACTAATCCTCATTAAATGTCTTTTTCATGCTCATGAAAAGATTTAACAGATTCCAGTTTGTTTTTTTAAGTCTTGGCCTGTAGGTTAATGATTCTTGTTTGGCTGTGGGGTTATCGCTTTCTCTCGCTGCTGACTGCATCTATATTGTAAAGCGAGAACAGGAGACAGAGCTGAAGACCCTAATTAACTCCGCTCTAATTGTAGTGATTATCAGGACCTCAGGAGGAAGAGGGAAAAAAAGAAAGAAACAAAAGCTCTACATTTTGAAATTTTAACCTGATATGAAAAACGTCATGTTGATAAAACAGTGAGAACTTTTACAATGGCAGAAACATGAAAGTCTTTTGAAACAGTACATGTACATGTGCCATTTTAGAGACATGATCAGTAACTTGAAATAATATTAAAGGTTTCATGGATATAGAAAACAATATTATCATACATCAGTGGCAATAATACTGCAGTAAAATTTGAAATGCTGGAAGCAGCATTAATAATACTAATATTATTCTTATTATTATTGACTTCAGAGGATTTTATTGATTTATCATTTAATGATTTTTTTTCATGATTGTTTCAGTAAGTTACTTAATTTTGAATAGAAGGGATTTCTGACTATATCATGCCCACATGTGACATTTCTCCTTACAAGGTTTGTCAGTGGTATCCACTAGCGGCAGATTGATTCTATGACCTGATAGAAGACCTCTCCTCTATTTTGTGTCTTTAATGATTCTCATATGTCTCTATCAGGTTGGCATCTCTGCGGGACATGTATGATCTTCTGTCCACCCTTGTGTGCGTGTCTCACTGAACCCTGTTGAAGCGGCTTGAGCAGAAGCCTGATCAATTTAGAGCAGCACACTGTGCATATCAGAGGAGAGAGAGAGAGAAAAATTATAGAAATAAAGAGGAGAAGAAAATGGTGAGATTAGGAGACAATGTGTTTTAAAAGCTAAAGTAAGAATGTCTGAAATTAATTAGTGTCTGTCAGGGGCGAACTGGGACAAAAATTCAGCCCTGGCACTGTAGCCACACCGGCCCACATGGATGTAAACATTACAGCAAAATATTTTCTCACTGACTGCTCTCAACATTGGAATACACATGAATACAAACAAGTAATAATAGCAAAAAAGGGAATAGAATATATAGCAAAAACTATAAATAGTAGCATCAGTAAATCCTTTTTGATATACAATTATTTGTGAAGTATGCTGAAGTGTTGCTAGTATGTGCTTATTTATACAGTAACGCTCAAAGGAATGGTTCACCCCCAAATTATTGGATGGTCTGGGGATGAGTAAATCATCAGGAAATTATCATTTTGGGGTGAACTATTCCTTTAAATACAACACTAATGAAGTTCAAGGATTCTGTAGTATATGTTTACACAACCAACTGCAGTTATGCTTCTATACTTAGCACAGAACAAGCTGTATGTCCAGATGATGTTCTGGAGTTCTAACACATGTTTCTTCTTCATAGTCCCTAACATCATCTGGATCCTTCCCATTAACACGTGACCACCTGGTGCTCCATTTCACCTCATTAACTGCCCAAACTGTCGAGTGCTAAAAATGTTACTCTGAGAATGAAACTGTTACACTCGTATGCCCTCTGTAGACTTCTTGTGCTGTAACACATCAATAAGCATGTTAGATTGAAACCTATGGAATCCTGAACAATATCATTTCAAAACAGGGTTATTACAGTTAACGAAAACTTAAATCTTAAAATATATATATAAAAATATATTTTAAAAAATCGAAATAAATACTGTCTAAAAATATATACAAGCTACTTTATTTAAACTATTAGCCTATATTTAAAAACAAACCTATTTTGTTTCTGCTAGCCAAGCAACATTTCTCTCTTCTTTTTTTTTTTTTTGTTTAAGTTGAAGTATTAAAACAACTACAACTAAATGAAATAAAACTAAAAACTTAATAAATAAAAAAAACACTATAAAAATATAAAAATGACAAGAACACAGAATAAAAAAAAATATTAAAACTTTGAAATTAAAAGGAAAAAATGAAATACAAAAAGAAAATGTGATTCAAAACAAAAACTAAAATATTAATAAAAAAGTATAATACTATATCAATGATACTAAATGCATAAAAATGCCAGCGCAAAGGTAATAGCAAGAACACACAATTAAAAAAACAGGATTAAAAGCGCCCTCTAGTGGAGAAAACATACCCATACAGAGATAACAAAAAATGTAATTAACATGACCAACCAGGGGCGGACAGGGACAAAAATTCAGCCCTGGCACTGTAGCCACACCGGCCCACATTACCACACCGACACAGCCCCACCCACAGACACACACATTCACTACTTACATTTGTGTACAGATGGTGAAATAATATAAGCAGTACCATATACGTAACAGATATTTAAACATTTAATGTATGTGTCTGGCAAACAATGCTTACTACTTTTTAAAGGGCACACGTTTATAACAAATTTACACATACAGTAAAAACAAAAGAAAAAGAATCTGAGGATGTTGTAGAATCTGTGTGCTGTCTGTTTATGCCATTTGTCTGCTGTTGCTGTCATTCTCTACAGTATGTTGTTCTTTGTTGTCACCGTCTGTCTGTTGGGTTTTTCCTACCTCTACCATACTCCTCCCCGTCTCTGCTAGGCCTACTGTAGCATCCTTCCTCACAGCACTGAAGTGTAGCACATGATTGAGTCAAAAACTGCTCTACTGCTGTATAAGAGATTAAAAATGAAATACCTTACCTTCAGTGTACTGAGGCCGGTTGGTGTTCACCAGACTGCTGTTCAGAGAAGACAGCTGCCACAAGCACTTGTCCATAATATGACACATAATTATTCAGTTAAAGGCAAGTTCCACTATTGTTGTGAATTGTAGATTACAGACACATTAATTCCTTGATATTTGCATACTTTACAAGAAAGAAAGAAAACTTCTATACATATCTACTTGAGGCCTCAGTCATAAAACCAATTGAAAAGCAGCATTTCCTCTGTATTACAGTAGTAAGTGTTACTACAGCAAAGCAATAATTACTGCAAGACAAAGAGCTCGTTCAGTTTAAACCTTAAATGTGTGATCACGT